CCCCAAATAAGTATCGCTTAGGGGGAAGATGGAGAAAAAGAACGAGAAGAATTGGAACCATGGACAGTTTAACAATTCACAAGGAAAATAAAGGAGATCCCTGCCTTTTTCCCCTCTAAAGGATTGATAACAGCTGTGAAGGGATGGCTCATACTCTCAATCCAAACCCAGGCTTTGTGAGACTGTAACTTGCCTTTAAAAGATCAGTGGTTTCCTTCACAACCAGCTTGACCCTCAAGCTAATTCTCAAATGCATGCACATCACTTTCTCTCTCTTCAGTCAATAAAGCAATGCACAGTGACTTGCAGCTGTATTTTTTATTCAGGTAAGCTAAAAACACTGCATTTGAAGAGATGCCTTGTGTCATAAGGCAAAGAAATTAATGCAGCATCCAGTGTAACTCTACTTCCTAATCTCCACTAAAATCCTTATTAGGTAATGCACACAACATGATATCGCCCCTTACCTACACTGCATCCACACACAGGTGTGAAAATGAACCCCACCACAGCAGCAGCAAGCAGTATGAGTACAGGCGGGAATGGCCTAGGGTTGTCAACTCTGGGCTGGGAAATTCCTGGAGACTCAGGAGTTGAGCCTTGGGAGAGGAGGGACTTCAGCAGGGTATAACGCCATAGAGAGTATCCCCTCCAAATCAGCCATTTTCTCCAGGGGAACTGATCTCTGTAGTTTGGAGAGCAGCTGTAATTCCTGAAGATCTCTGGGCTGCACATGGAGATGGGAAATCCCAAAACAGCCTCAATACACTCCAGTTCCATGCACCACCAATCCTCCCCTTTTCCCCTGTAATGTCTGCACAATAGTGTAACAGCAATCAAACTGGGACCCTTACCCAATGGACCAGACCCCACCTTTCCCTTCACTTTGTTCCCCTCCCTACTGAGCTGCGTGCATAGCCAGGAAGCACAGCTGGGGGAAGGGAACCAAAGGACTAAAGGGGAGGGGCAAATGGTGCATTGTAGCAAGCTGCCCCACACCAATTTAGCTCTACCACATCTCCTCATAATGGCACTGCAGGAAATGTCCACCTGGATGGTTTCCTGCAGCCAGTACTAAGCTTCCCCTTGAATCTGGGGGGAAGGGGCAGGTTTGTTTTTTGTTCTCTGGATTAAAGGGACAAGCTCCAAGGACACCCAAACTATGTTCAGAATGAGAATGGTGTCATATGTGGGGGAGCCTTCCTGCTCTCCACAGTTTTGGGGGTAATTCTTGTGTGGAAGGCAGTCCTACTGCTCCTAGACTGAAAAGGGAAAGCATTAGCCCAACTCTTTTGGCTTGATGGAGCCGCAAGAATTCCAGGAGGAACTCGAAATAAATGAGCCGTGTGTGTGTGTGTGTGGAAATCATGATTTTCTCATAATCAGTTAGCAGAATCATATATAACCTTGGCACCAAGTCCAGGAGTCTATGCATATTTTAATAGTTTATGAATTGTTAACATCAGAAATGTAGAAGCTGAACAAGGACAATTGTATTTTTCAGAAACTTTTGCCTCATTGTAATGAAATCCTTCCTTAAATCATCTTTTATTTTTTTAAGAACTCTACTATGCTCAGTCATACTATCTAAAGAGGGCTTTTTTGTCAAGACCATTTACAGCTTGATACAGGAGATGTTCAGCTTTAAAAAAAATGACCTGGGGACATCTTGGATGGACACAGGTTGGGTAGATGGAATTTGGAGGATTTTTTTTTTTTAGGGACTGCCACAGATTTAACACACACATACAAGACAGAAATTTTTTCTGTTCTGAAAATGAGATCTCAAAATAGAAATAGTTCCATTAGAATTTAAAAGGCCTATTTTAAAAAGATTCTTAAATTGGTTTAACTGCAAATCAGTGCAGTTACAGACTCTCACCTTGACTGAGAGGAAAGAAGACCATTTGACGAGGGAGGGGTGGGGAATCAAGACAGGCTGACAGCTGATAACATCTACAAGGAGCAGCCTGTTGAGTGGTTGGGAATGGGACGGCAGAAGAGGTGTGTGATAAGGCAGATCTAGGAGTTAATTCACAGCACCAGTTTAAGGTGGGGACAGGATTACGTTCCCTTGCATGAGGTAAATTGGTCTTGAGATAAGAATCCCCATGTTCCCATCAAGAGACATCATAGTCCCACAAACCTTCTAATTTTTCCTCTGTTTTTCTTGTTACTCAAGATTTAAAACCATATAGATTTTAGAAGGTCTTTAAATGTAACACCCCTGATTCAGAAGAGCTATGTACGAGTCCAGTACATTTGAGAGTCAAAGCTCCCTTCGTCAGATGCCCCAATTCACAACCTGCTCCTATTTTGTTCCTTCAAAACTTTCTCCTAATAGCCCACACAGAAGACGTGAAAATGAAATGTCTGTGAACACTAGGAGAAAAGCCTTTTATCTTCCTCACTGTATTTTCCTCCACACTTAGACAACATCATTATCTTCCCTCGAACAAGCCAATCTGTAAACCTTAAAATTTGATTACCCCAAAGTATTTTGTCCCAGTTGAACAACATGCCTAACAACTGAGGCCGATGGGGAAATATCTGGGCCAATCCTACTTTCATCTCTCAGGTTCCAAAGAAGCCTGTTGTATAATATTTCATTGTTCAGACATGGCATTTCCTTTCAAACCATCCTAATGCTTCTAATGGATTTAATGGCAATTTCTGTCCTAGTCTAAACTATGTTCAAATCATATTTTGACAAAAGCAAAACAGACTTGCCAATTGAACAGCACAGCAGCAAAAAAGGAAGCATTTATTACAAATAACCTCCCAATTGCTGGGTCCACAGCACATTCATATTTACTCCACTGAAATTACCACCACAAAGGAATATTATTAACCTTAATCAAATCTTGAACAATCCCCCCTCAAAATCTCAGAAATCTTAACACAAAAAATGAAATGGGCTGTGGTGTTTTTTACTTAAAAGTTTAACCACCGGTGTTTTTGTGCTCTGAAAAAGCACAGTTTTCACATGTATGAGAGTCCTCACCATCCCTAACTAACAAATATGAGAGTATGTTAAGCAGGGCTTTTGCTGCTGTGGCCCCCCAAGACTGTGGAATTCCCCACCCAAGGATAATTGCCTTGCATTCTCACTTTTGACCTTCCAGAAGTTAGTCAAGACTATTCTGTTTTGGAGGGCATTTTATGATTTGACACCTTGACTCATTTGCGTTTCATCTACCAGTTCCGGCGCTCATACTATAGGATTCACTTTTTATTGACTCACTTGCTAGATTTCACATTGGCGGCCTTGCTTCTATGACTGTTTTGTCACTGGTTTTTAGTTGTTGCTGCTCTTGCTGATTATTTTTTTGGAGTTTCTTTTTTTTAAAAAAATCTTTGCAACCCCCAGGGCATGCCTGCTTAACAGTGGCACCCCAGACCATTTTCTCCTCCAGATAGAGGTAGTTCTTTCCAAGCAATTGAGGTGGGCCCAGAACATTTTGGCAGTGGGGTGGATCCTACTACTCCCTGTGCAAAGTTTATTAAAATATTTATATCCCACCTTTCCTTTTGGCCCAACTTTGGAGCCTTGGAGGAAGATCCTGTTAAGTTGGAGGAAGGTGACTTGGAGGATGGCTGTGACTCAGTGGCAGAGCATCTGCTTGGCATGCAGAAGGTCCCAGGTTCAGTCCCCAGCATCTCCAGTTAAAAGGATTAGGCAGTAGGTGATGTGGAAGACCTCTGCCTATGACACTGGAGAGCTGTTGCCAGTCTGAGTAGACAGTACTAACCTTGATGGGCCAATGGTCTGATTCAGTATAAGGCAGCTTCATGCATTCATGGCTGCATCTATCCCAGTGCTGCTTTCTGTCATTGCCTCCTGGACCTATGGAATGGTCAGCTAGGTTTAAGGCGAGCCTCTGAGGCACTGGAAGAAGTGCTGGGGCTCGGCTTGCTTCCATGGGTCTGGCAAAGTACAACCTTGCCCCACATACACATTTTGTTTGCTGGCACATCACTATCTTCACAGCTAGTTTTCTGGTATGTGGGTTGGCTTTAAAATTTTGAAATATTTTACTTTGTAAGCCACCACGAGTGCTATCTTCATCACAGAAAAGGAACAGACATATTTTCTAAGTGAACCCATTTCCATGCTCATAGCCAATATTCTTTCAAACCAAGGTAACTTTACCCTGTCTTTACAAATCTGACTTTATTTTATTGTCAGGGGATGGCTAGGAATTTGTGAAAGCCCTCCTAGGAAATGTCACTCGTCTTGCAGAAACTGTTTTGATCTCCTTCAAAAATCCCTCAAATATTTCATCCTCTAAAGTCACTTTGAGTTTTTCTTTAGGCAAAATCCAGCTGCAACCCCAGGATGTCCTGAATCCTCCTGGGAAATTCAGACAATCTCTGAGAAATTCTGTAAGCCTCGTCTAAATTCCTTTGATCACCTTCAGAATTCTTCAGACATTATGCCTGAGCAATAGCCTTTGAGTTTGCTTTAATGAAACTTTGGTCTCAATTCTAAACATGTAATTATTGCTAAATAATTCAGTGTGTGTGGTTTTTCCCCTCAGATCACGGGCTACTATTTTACTTTCTAGAAGATATTTCTGTCCTCATGGGGGGGGGGAGGGTAGGAAGAGCCACTTTGTGGTGACTTTTCCACCCAAAATATGATACAAGTTGACCTTACAAAGTTCATGCACTGAGAATATAGAGGGAAGGGATTTAGACCACAGCCCAAGGAAAGAGGGAAGTACGGACACCACTGGAATGAGGGCCAGCACGACACCAAACTGAGAGTGGAGGAAGATATGGAACCCACACCACTCTGTGAACTTCAATCCCAAATAACTCCCCTCGTCACTTCTCATCAGACTGTTCACACACACCCAGCCCCGGTGCTTCACATCAGCCGGATCAAAAGTTTCTGTTAATACCACAACCAGTAATGATCCTGTGCAGAGCTTGGCGCTTTTACAACACCTATCAAATCCAAGGGGAGGGGTGTATGTGAACTCCAGAGCTCTTACCTTCCTCAACATCGTTCCTCAAGGAAGCCTCCAGCAGTGCAACACTGGCCTCAAAAGAAACCTTCTTGTGGCTGATCACATTCCTCCTCTTGTCATGTTTTCTCTTCTTGTGCTGCATCTCCTTCTCGTACTGCGCCCACTTCTTCAGCTGCTGAGCCCTACGCTTCTGGGCTGCCCGGAGCCGCTCTAGTGTTGGTACCTTATCCAGCAGCTGGAGCTCTGTCAGCAGGTCCATGTGGGAGTCCATTGCCTGGGCAGATTTCAGAGGCGAAATGGGTCAGCCTCACTTCTGGCTGGACTAGCAGCCCAATCTGGGCACCCAGAGTAAGCTGCCCAGGACTAAGAAAACATTCTGTGGCTGATCCATGGATAGCACTTCCTAGAGTCTGCAGAACACATGGTGGGATTCTAGAGAGAAGGCCAGAAAACAATAAAGTAAGGTTAGTGCCACATCAAACCCAAACCAAGTTTGTTTATTTACTTTCTTCATTTATACTCTGCCTTTCTCCCCAATGGGGACCCAAAGTGACTTATACCATTTTGTTGTCCTCCATTTTATCCTCAAAATAATCCTGTGAGGAAGGCTAGGCTGACAGTATGTGACTGGCCCAAGTTCACCCATTAAGTTTCCATGGAAGACTGGGAATTTAAACACTTGCCTCCCAGATCCTAGCCTGTTGCTTTAACTACTACACCAGGCTGGATGTACATATACTACAGAGCAGATTTTCTGCAACCATTCATGTGGCTCTCTCTTCTGGCCTGTGTATCATACTTGATTATACTGACCTTTCAGCTTAATGTCTATACCTGGGAAAGTTTTAGAACAAATCATCAAACAGTCAGTCCTTGAGCATTTAGAAAGGGTGGCTGTGATTACTAAGAGCCAGTTTGGGTTTCTCAAGAACAAGTCATGTCAGACTAACCTTACCTCTTTTTTTGATAGTTACTACCTTGCTGGATCAGGGGAATGCTGTGGACATCGTTTATCTTGATTTCAGTATGGCTTCTGATAAGGTTCCACATAACATTCTTGTTGATAAAATGTGGTTTGGATCCTATTACTGTTAGGTGGATTTGTAACTGGTGCTTGTTAATGGTTCCTCATCCTCTTGGAAGAGGAGTGACAAGTGGAGTGCCTCAGGAATCTGTCCTGGGACCTGTTTTGTTCAACATCTTTATCAATGATTTGGATGAAGGAATAGAGGGAATACTTATTAAATTTCCAGATGATACTAAATTGTGAAGGGAAGCAAGCAAATACCATAGAAGAAAGAGTCAGGATACAGGATGATCCTGAAAGGCTGGAAAACTGGGCTAAACAAATAAAATGAATTTCAATGGCGATAAATGTAAAATTCTGCATTTAGATAGGAAAAATCAAATGCATAAGTATAGGATGGGGGAGACTTGTCTTGGCAGTAGTATGTGTGAAAAGGATCTAGGAGTCTTAGTAGACCCTACATGGAACATGAGTCAGCAGTGTGATGCAGTAGCTAAAAAGGCAAATGCTATTTTGGGCTGTATCAACAGTATAGTGTCCAGATCACGTGAAGTTACTCTGCTCTGGTTAGACTTCACCTAGAGTACTGTGTTCAGTTTTGGGCACCACAATTTAAGAAGGATATAGACAAGCTGGAACATGTCCAGAGAAGGGCAACAAAGATGGTGATGGGTCTGGAGACCAAGTCCTATGAGGAAAGGTTGAAGGAGCTGGGTATGTTTAACCTGAAGAGGATATAACTGAAAGGTGATATGATAACCATCTTCAAGTACTTGAAGGGCTGTCATATAGAGGATGATGCAGAGTTCTTTTCTGTTGCTTCAGAAGGCCGGACCAGAAACAACCAGAACCAACGGGAAGAACTTCCTGACAGTTAAAGCAGTTCCTCAGTGGAACAGGCTTCCTCGGTAAGTGGTGGGCTCTCCTTCTTTGGAGGTTTTTAAGCAGAGGCTAGATGGCCATCTGACAGCAATGCTGATTCTGTGTACTTAGGCAGATAATCAGAGGGAGAGAAGGAAGGGTTGCATCAATACTTAGTTCTCGGGGCCCTTTCTTACATGCCCAGGGAAATGCTGATTGCCACTTTGGGGTCAGGAAGCAATTTTCTCCAGGCCAATTTGGCCAGGGATCCTGGAGGGTTTATTTTATTTTATTGCCATCTTCTGGGCATGGAGCAGGGGTCACTGGGTGTGGGGAGGAAGGTAGTTGTGAATTTTCTGCATTGTGCAGGGGGTTGGACTTGATGACTCTGGAGGTTCCTTCTAACTCTATCATTCTATGATTCTCATAACATTCACTCTGGTCATTTTCAGAGGTCCTGCTTCGGTTGCTCCCAATGAAGGCTAGACTGGTGGCAACCCAAGAAAAACCTTTCTCAGTTGTGGCACCAAAACTTTGGAACTCTCACCCCAGGGGGATAGTTAGTCAGCAGGTGAAGACTTCTTCGTTTTGTTTGGCATACCTTCGATAACAGTTATTCGCCCTCCTCCTTGGTTCCGACATTGTTTGTTTATGGGTTTTTATTTTACTATTTAGAATTTCAAAAGCTACTCTTAATAATTAAAAAAATATATGTTTGCCGCCTTAGGGATGCAGCAGATGCTGATTGCGCAGAACGGCTGCATAAAAGTTTTAAATAAATAAATGAAATAAGTACATTTATAACAATTTGAAGTCATGATCTACTCGTTCTTCAAAATTCCTGGCTTTTATTTATTTTTCAAAAAGGGGTAGAGACTTTTTAAATTCTATCACCACAACAAAAAGGGCGGAAGGGGAGGGGAGGGAGGGGGGAAGGAGGAAGGAAGGAAGGAGTTCAGAGGAAACAGTTGATCACAACAAAAAACAATGTTACAGCACAACAGTAATTACTGGTTTTTTAAACGAGTTCTCTGGTAGCACAGCAGGAAAAATATTTGCCATCAGGGGATACTGAAAGGAAAATGGTGTCAGTGTGGTAGGGATGCCCAGCCTCCTGCTGGGAGATTAGAATTACAGCTCATCTCCAGACTACAGGGATCATTTCCCCTGGATCAATTGGATGCTTTGGGGGCTGGACTCTATGGCATTGTACCCCACTGAGGTCCCTGACCTCCCCAGGCTCCATCCCCTAATCTTCAAGAGTTTCCCAAACTGGACCTGGCAATCCTACCCCCCACCCACACTCACACCCACCCAGACACACCAGTGTGTTGGAGACCTGGCAACCCTACAGTGTGGACAAAACCTTAAAAAATAAACAACTTCACATCCAGATGATTTGCTCATATGCCTGGACTGCATCTCTTTCAGAAAGACCATACAAAACTAGGTTTGAGAACAGGCTACCACTGATGGGGAAAGCCTGGAAAGTTGACATCACATGGATGCTCCCCCCTCCCCAATAAGATCTTTAAAGTTCTGAAGCCAAGGCAGAGAAAAACCTCTGGCCACAGTTTCCACACGAACAAAAAAATCATTTAAAAACAAGTATACTAAATAGTACCTACAGTAAATATTTGGGGTTCATAAAACCTATTGAATATACTTCACACTCAGGTAAAACGTACTTTGTTTTGATTTGTAATACATATTCTGTTCTATTTTGGGAGGTTGAAATGGGAAGCCATCATCTTCTGGGCATGGGACAGCAGTCACTGGGGGTGTGGGGGGGAGGTATTTGTGAATTTCCTGCATTGTGCAGGTGGTTGGACTAGATGACCGTGGAGGTCCCTTCCAACTCTATGATTCCTTCTCAACTCCATTTATAATTTTAGCACAATTTGAGGCCTTTGGCTAAGGAATAGTTGTAGAAAGAAAGCAGAGACAGAAAGCATTGGAAAGAAACTGGAAGCACAAAAAAAATACAGGAGCTTGCCCAAGGCCTCTTCTCGTCTGAGGTCTCCAGCAAATCTCAGCATATATTCAGATCGAGTTCTCACTTAGGTGGTCAGTCACACAAATCCCAGTCTACCTACAAACGTGGTACATCCTAGAAACATACTGAATACCCCAGCATACAAAAAAAACCCAACCCACCCCCCATATACAAAATAACTACTTGAATGGTGGTGATGGAAAGCACCATAAAGTCACAGCTGACTTATGGTGACCCCATAAGTTTTCAAGGCAAGAGACATTCAGAGGTGGTCTGCCATTGCCTGCCTCTGCATTGTGACCTTGGACCTCCTTGGAGGTCTCCAATCCAAATACTAGCCAGGGCTAACCTTGCTTGGCTTCCAAGATCTGGTGAGATCAGGTTAGTCTGGGCTATCCAGGTCAGGGCAATACTTTGCATACACAAATCTAAATGTCTATCCTCGTCTCCTCCATAACATGCTAACTTTCTACACAGGGAATGGGGGTGGTGTCTGGTGAATAATTCTGTCACATGAGCCTCCATCTGCCACCAGACATGGTACAGTCCAGAGACAAGCTTGCCTCCTGAGAGAATGGGACCATATTTTCAGAGCTTCACCTACATAAGACCTGAACATGTTGAGCACGGTATAATGAAGGCTGCACTTTTTTACATGACTGCTGTGCCATGATGATGTATCTGCCTTAGAATTTGGCATGAATTAGGTCACCACCCTTCTTGCACAAGCAGCCGAGATCAAAACAGAGTTCCCATTTCACACAAGCCACGTGCAACAGCAGCTTTAGAATGACTTAGTTGTGCCCAACAATTCTGGACCATCTCCTTGCAAACAACAGCCGTCTCTGTTATAGCTGCTCTTGGTTGTATAACAGCAGCATAACACCAATATATTTACTTAATATTTTTGTCATCCCATTCTCTTAGGTTAAAAAAAAACTTATGAGGCAGTTGACAACAATAAAATCCTACTAGTCATAATCTAACAAGACAAAAATAGCAGCAGAAACCTAACAATAAATGGAATGTCATAAAACTGGTCAAAAATCCATTATTAAAACTAAAATTTCCACTTTGCAGAGGTGCAAGTGCTAGCAGAGAAAAGGGGGGGGGGGTCTGAATAATAATAAATTCTACCTCAACAGTCCACAAATGCCCCAGAATTTTTTTAAAAAAGTTTTCTCCTTATACCTAAACTAAATCTCATCAAAGGTAACTCTAGGCACAATGCTGTGGGGTATTACAAGCATAAGGTACAGTGTAAGAATACCAGACATTAATCTGGCTTCCTTAAGATCTCCAAGAGCATCCTCCACATTGTATTTCAATTTGGGATGTCAAGAATGTGTGATGTTTGCATTGCTTTAGTTCCTCAACTGAGGATATAATCAACAGCAGGCAACAGTGTCTTTTTCTCTGCCTGAAGCAAACATCAGGCTGCCAGATGCAAAATGGAGAG